CGTTGATAACAACAGGTGAGCACAAGCCTCTGAGAGACATCCCCCACCACTCCCACTCCCTCTCCTCTCTCTCTCTCACACACTGTCACTGTCAACTGTAGGTAACCACAACATAGAGACAGAGAATAAAGACAAGAGATCGGGGATGACAGTGAGGAAATACATTTAGAGTAAAACGAAAGTCATTTTTTTTTATTGTTTCACGCAACATAGTGAGGTCAGAAGGCACAACACTGGGGCGAGTGTGCGTGTGTCTGTGCGCGCGCGGTTCTTTCTCTGCGTACGTGTGTGCGCGCGGGCGCGCGCGCCTCTCTCTCTCCCTTACACGCAGCCCTCGGAGAGTGGGTGTAAGTATGCGTGTGTCTCAGTCGCTGTGTGTGCGTGTCTGTCTCTCTCTCGATGCGTGTCTGTCTTTCTGTGTGTGTGTGTGTGTCTGTCTGTCTCTCTGTGTGTGTGTCTGTCTGTCTGTCTCTGTGTGTGTCTGTCTTTCTGTGTGTGTGTGTGTCTGTCTTTCTGTGTGTGTGTGTCTGTCTCTGTGTGTCTGTCTGTCTCTGTGTGGTGTGTCTCTCTCGATGTGTGTCTGTCTTTCTGTGTGTGTGTGTGTCTGTCTCTCTCTCTCTCTCTCTCTCTCGGTGTGTGTCTGTCTCTCTCTCCGTGTGTATCTGTCTCAGTCTCTCCGTGTGTGTGTGTCTCTCTCTCTCTCCCCCTCAGTGTGTGCCTGTCTCTCTCTCGTGTTTTTTTCTCGCTCTCTCTCGCTCCCCCCTACATGCAGCCCTTGTAGAGTTGGTGTAAGTCCAGCACATCGCTGGAGCACACCTTGACCCAGCCGCTCTCCCTGACGTGATAGAGCCCCACGTAGCCTCCGGAGTAGGCATCTCTGAACGTGGCGTGGTAAATCGCTCGCTTGGCGAGCTCACACGCCTCTTCCACGGTCATCTCCTTGCGATAGCCGCGATCCAGGATCCCGTACGCGTAGACCGAGCCCGAGCCGACAGAGAACACATCACCAGACGCTCTGTTACCCTCACTGTCCACACAGTACAGGCCTGCGGGGGGGGAGAGAGAGAGAGAGAGAGGGGGTGAGAGAGAGAGAGAGAGAGGGTGAGAGAGAGAGAGAGGGAGTGGGGAGGACACACACACAGTACAGGATTGCGGAGAGAGAGAGGGGGTGAGAGAGAGAGAGAGGGGGTGAGAGAGAGAGAGAGAGAGGGTGAGAGAGAGAGAGAGGGGTGGGAGAGACATACACACAGTACAGGATTGCGGAGAGAGAGAGAGGGGTGAGAGAGAGAGAGAGAGAGAGGGGAGAGAGAGGAGACACACACACCAGTACAGGATGCGGAGAGAAAAAGGGGGTGAGAGAGGGGGGATGAGAGCGAGAGAGGATCAGAGAGAGAGAGAGAGAGAGAGAGTGTGAGAGTGGGAGAGGGAGAGGGAGAGAGAAAGAGACACAGACATACACACAGTTCAGGCCTGCGAGAGAGGGAGAGAGGGGGAGAGAGGGGGAAGAACACACACACACACAAGAAAGAGACACACACAGGGTCAGAGAGGGAGAGACACACACACACAGGGTCACAGAGACACACACACAGGGTCAGAGACAGACACACACACACAGGGTCAGAGAGAGAGAGACACACACACAGGGACAGACACACACACACACAGGGTCAGAGAGACACACACAGGACAGACAGACACACATACACACACAGGGTCACAGAGACACACACACAGGTCAGAGACAGACACACACACACACACATACACACACACACAGGGTCAGAGAGACACACACACAGGAACAGACACACACACACACACACACAGGGTCAGAGATACACACACACACAGGGTCAGAGACACACACACACAGAGGGTCAGATACACACACAGACACACACACACACACACAGGGTCAGAGACAGACACACACACACACACACACAGAGGGTCAGATTCAGACACACACACACACACACAGGGTCAGAGACAGACACACACACACACATTATTATTATTAACGGTCACTAACCGGGCCCCGCTTGTCCCAGCCACAGATCATGGTGCCCATGGACAGACCCATGCCCTTGTACTGATACACCATGTTGGCGAGCAGTTTGGAGGCCGCGGCTACGGAGATCCGCTCCTTGTTCCGCAGCTCGTAGATCCGACACTGACGGGCGAGCACGCGCTCCCAGAAGCTGCAGTCAGCGGCCCGCCCGCCATCGTACCCAGGAGGTACGGATTTATCTCAATCACCTTCTTCACCGTCTGAGACGCGATGTAGCTGCCGGCAGTGGCTCGGGAATCAACAGCGACTATCACACCGTGGTCAAACTGTCGGGGGAGAGGGGAGAGAGTGTGGGGAGAGAGATGGAGGAAGAGAGAGAGGGGGGTGGCGAGAGAGTGGGGGGGGGGAGAGAGTGTGAGGGGGGGAGAGAGAGCGGGGGAGAGAGGGTGAAGGAGGGGTTGGTGGTGGGGGGAGAGAGAGTGGGGGGAGCGAGGGGGAGGAGGGAGAGAGAATGAGAGAGTGGGGGGAGAGAGAGAGTGAGAGAGAGTGGGGGAGAGAGAGAGAGAGAGTGGGAGAGAGAGAGAGGGTGGGAGAGAGAGTGGGGGGGAGAGAGAGAGTGGGGGAGAGAGAGAGAGGGAGAGAGAGAGGTGGGGGGGGAGAGAGAGAGAGTGGGGAGAGAGAGGGGAGAGAGAGGGGAGAGAGAGAGTGGGGGGGAGAGAGAGAGGAGAGAGAGAGAGTGGGAGAGAGAGAGAGGGGAGAGAATGAGAGAGGGTGAGAGAGGGGGGAAGAGAGAGAGAGGGGGGAGAGAGGGAAACAGAGACACGCGCCCACCAGAGGGCGACACACACACACACACACACACAAAGGGAGAGAGACACAACACAAGAGACAAAATAATATATAAATGTAAAAATAAGACAAGACATAAACATGAAAGATATAATATGAAGATTAGTCCTGTGGAGTCCTGTGGCTCAGTGGTTAGAGCAGTCGCTTTGCAAGTGAGAGACCTGAGTGCAATCCCCGGGGGGTCAGTCAGGGCCAAACCTCGGGCGAGTTTCCTCACTCCGCACAGAGCCTAACAATAATCCCTCCAAACAAAACAAGAACAATAATAAATTGGTCATTTTCAACCCACGACTGTGTGTGGGGACATTGCTGTGCGCAATTGGCCGCCGCGTTCGCCCACAAATATACGGTCAATTACACTTTACAGTGCGTTCTGTGAAGCGCTTCGGGACGTCCTCCCGACGTGAAAAGCGCTATATCAAATGCAAAGATTATTATTATTATTATAATGGTTTAAGGTACAATATAGTCTAATGTATGGATGATAACGGTATATAATGGTACATATAAAAGTATAATATAATTTAAAGGTATAATATAATGATAAGAATATAAAGGTATAATATGATAAGGTATAACACAGTATAATGTTAATAAAGGTGTAACACATATAGCATAAAGGTATAATAATGCAATATAACGATAACAGTAATATAAAGGTATAATACGATAAGGTATAAAGGTGTAACACAGTATAATATAATGATAATAAAGATATATATATAATGGTAATAATGGTATAATACAGTATAATAGAGTACAATATAAAGGTGTAGCACAGTATAGTGTAATGGTATATAAGGTACAATATAATGTAATAGCATATAATGGTATATAATGTATACACACACTATACCGTGGCGGACAGTGTATATAAACGGTATACAACGGTATATAATGGCATATGGTGGTACAGAACGGTATAGAATATACATGAACGGTATAGGGTGGTATATAACTGTATATGACATATACAGGTATATGAACGGAACGCAGCGGTATAGAATGGTATATAACGGTATATGAACGGTATAGAACGGTATATGAACGGCATAGAATGGTATATGAACGGTACCGAATGGTATATGAACGGTATAGAATGGTATACGAACGGCATAGAATGGTATATGAACGGTACAGAATGGTATGTGAACGGTACAGAATGGTATGTGAACGGTACAGAATGGTATATGGACGGTATAGAATGGTATATGAACGGTATAGGGCGGTATATGAACGGTATAGAATGGTATATGAACGGTATAGGGCGGTATATGAACGGTATATGAACGGTATAGAATGGTATTTGAACGGTATAGAATGGTATATGAACGGTATATGAACGGTATATAATGGTATTTGAACGGTACAGAATGGTATATGGACGGTATAGAACGGTATATGATCGGTATATGAACGGTATAGAACGGTATGTGGACGGTATAGGATGATACATGAACGGTACAGAGTGGTATATACACAGTATATGACGGTATATGACGGTATATACACAGTATATGACGGTATAGACACAGTATATGACGGTATATACACAGTATATGACGGTATGTAATGTATGTGACGGTATGTAATGTATGTGACGGTGTACAGCGGTGCAGTGATCACCTTGAAGGCCAGGGTGGTGGTCCCGTGCTCTATCCCAGCCTCGGGGCCGGGCCCGGTGCTCTGGGCGAGGCCGGGGCTGTGGGCCCAGTCGGAGGCCGGGGTGGGGTGGGGGTGGGGCCGAGGCCGAGGCCGAGGAGAGGCTGTGAGGGGCCGAGCGGTCCGGGGCCCGAGAGCAGCGCGTCCACCAGCGCCATGTTCCTGAGTCACACTGAGGGCGGGGCCGGGGGGCAGCGTCACATGAGGGAGGGACCGGGGGGCAGCGTCACACTGAGGGGAGGGGCCGGGGAACGGCGTCACACTGAGGGGAGGGGCCGGGGGGACAGCGTTACACTGAGGGGGCCGGGGGGCAGCGTCACACTGAGGGGAGGGACCGGGGGCAGCGTCACACTGAGGGAGGGGCCGGGGAACGGCGTCACATGAGGGGAGGGGCCGGGAACAGTCTGGCGTCACACTGAGGGGAGGGGCCGGGGAACAGTCTGGCGTCACACTGAGGGGAGGGGCCGGGGATAGCGTCACAGAGGGGCGGGGCAGGGTGACTGCGTCACAGAGGGGAGGGGCCGGGGGATCGCGTCACACTGAGGGGAGGGGCCGAGATTATAGTAATCCACACACTATCTATATTGTTATTATAGTAATCCACACACTATGTATATTGTTATTATAGTAATCCACACACTATCTATATAGTTATTATAGTAATCCACACACTATCTATAATATTATTATAGTAATCCACACACTATCTATATTGTTATTATAGTAATCCACACACTATCTATTGTTATTATAGTAATCCACACACTATCTATAATATTATTATAGTAATCCACACACTATATATATATTGTTATTATAGTAATCCACACACTATCTGTATTATTATTAAAGTAATCCACACACTATATCATTATAACAGTAATCCACACACTATCTGTTATTATAATAGTAATCCACACACTATCTGTGTTATTATTATAGTAATCCACAGTGTGTCAGTCTGTTTATATTATTATAGTAATTCACACCCATCACGTCTTTGAGGCGTCTCAAAGAGCTTCACGGGACCCGCTGTAAAGCGTGTAGTGACCGTGTGTTTTGTGGGCGAAACGCTGCAACCAATTGCGCCGCCCGGCGACGTCCCCACAAACAGCCGCGGGGTTGAAGGGACCGAATTATTATTATTATTGTTGTTGTTGTTATTGTTTTGAAGGGATTATTACCCCCCGGAAAGCGATCCCCCAATCAATCGCCTGACGAGCGGGTTCCTCCCGACTGCTGGTCAGCAGCTCGCTTCGCAGCGGGAACACGGTTTGGGCGGACAGTCGTTCCTTGCTCGTAATAATCATAATAATAATAATAATAATCCTTGCATTTGATACAGCGCTTTTCACGTCGGGACGACGTCCCAAAGCGCTTCGCAGAATATACTGTGGAGTGAATTGACTCTGTACTTGTGGGCGAACGCGGCAGCCAATTGCCCACAGCAGCGTCTGTCCCACAAACAGATTGAAAATGACCAATTTATCATTGTTTTGATTCTTCGGAGGGATTATTATTAGGGCTGTGTGTGTGTGGGGTAAGGAAACTTGCCCGAGGTTTGGCCCTGACCTGCCTGGGATTGAACTCCGCTCTCTCACTTGCAAAGCGAGTGCTCCAACCACTGAGCTACGACTGTAAGTGGTGAAGCGTTACGAGACATCTGTGTGTGTGTGTGTGTGTGTGTGTGTGTGTTAGAGTGTGTGTGAGACACACGTCTCTCTCTGTGTGTGTAAGGCACGAAGCGCTCTGAAACATCTGTGTGAGTGCGTGTGAGAGATGTCTCTGTGTGTGTGAGACGTCTCTGTGTGTGTGTGTGTGTGTGCGTGAGACACACGTCTCTCTCTGTGTGTGTAAGGCATGAAGCGCTGTGAAACATCTGTGTGAGTGTGTGTGAGAGATGTCTCTGTGTGTGTGTGCGTGTGTGTGTGCGTGAGACACACGTCTCTCTGTGTGTGTAAGGCACGAAGCGCTGTGAAACATCTGTGTGTGTGTGAGTGTGTGTGAGAGATGTCTGTGTGGGTGTGAGACGTCTGTGTGTGTGTGTGTGTGTGCGTGCGGTAGGGAGCGTGAGTCCTCAGTGTGCGCGAGAGACATCTGTGTGCGTGTGTGAGAGCGCGAGACGTCTCTCTGGGGGCGGGGGGGGACGGGGGCTGAATGAGCATAAAGGCTTCTCCGTTTGCGTACGACTCCCACAGTTACGTGCCTCACTGTGCTTCTCCCACGGAGCAGAGGTACACGGCGCTGTCCGCCACCGCCATCCCGTCGATCTCCAGCCCGCAGAAACGGTCCTGCGCTCTCAGGACACTGCGTATCCGGGGATCCGCCTGCCTCGATCGCTGTTCGGTGTTGTTGTGGTGCCTTCCCACCAGGAAAATGGGTCTCTGCCCCTCTCTCTCCCTGTACCACTGGACTCTGTAGTCGTGCAGCTTTGTGTTGTAGGAGCAAGGAATGACTGTCCGCCCAAACTGAGTTCCTGGTACAAAGCGAGCTATCTGGATTACTCTCTCCCCCGCGCACAGCTCTGAGAGAGAGAGAGAGAGAGAGAGAGACTGAGTCACAGAGGGCGAGAAACTCAATGTCAAAGAAAGACTGAGAAACCGAGAGAGAGGGGAAAGAGAGAGACAGAGAGAGAGACAGACAGAGAGAGAGAGGAGAGAGAGAGAGAAAGAGAGAAGACAGAGAGAGAGAGAGAGAACGAGAGAGACAGAAGAGAGACAGATAAGAGAGAGACAGAGAGAAAGACAGAGAGACACAGAGAAAGAGAGACAGACAGAGAGAGAGAGACAGAGAGAGAGAGAGACAGAGAGAGACTGACACACAGAGAGAGAGACAGACAGAGAGAGAGAGACAGAGAAAGAGAAACACAGAGGGAGACAGAGAGACAGAGAGAAAGAGAGAGAGAGACAGAGAGAGACAGAGAGAGAGACAGAGAGAAAGACAGAGACACACAGAGAAAGAGAGACAGACAGAGAGAGAGAGAGAGCAGGAGAGAGAAAGACAGAGAGAGAGAGAGAGAGAGAGACAGAGAGAGACAGAGATAGAGCGACAGACGTCCCAAAGCGCTTCACAGGATGTACTGTAAAGTGTAGTGACTGTATATTTATTTTGTGGGCGAACCACGACAGCCGATCGCGCCCGGCGACGTCCCCACAAACAGCCGTGGGGTTGAGTGACCAAATTCTTGTTGTTAATTGTTTTGAAGGGATTATTCCCCCCGGAAAGCGATCCCCCAATCGCCTGACAGGCGGGTTCCTGCTGACCGCCGGGGACACAGGCGCGTGTGCGCGAGTCTGTGTGTGCGTGTGTGTGCGTGTGTGTGCGTGTGTCTGTGTGTGGAGTAAGAAAACGTGTCTAATGTTTTGCCGTGACCCGCCCGGGAATCAAACGCAGGTCCTCTCGCTTGTTAGGTGAGCTCTCTAACCACTGAGCTGCAGGACTCAACTGGTGTCAGTCTGTGCTCAGTCGCTGTGTGTGTGTGTGTGTGTGTGTGTGTGTCAGTCTGTAAAGCGCTCCACAGGATACACTGTAAAGTGTAGTGACCGTATTTTGTGGGAGAAATGAGAGAAGGACTGAGAGAGAAACTGTAGAGTGAGAGAGACTGAGAGAGAGATCCAGAGACTGAGAGAGAGTGAGAGAGAGAGAGACTGAGTGAGAGAGACTGAGAGAGAGAGAGACTGAGAGAGAGATCCAGAGAGAGAGTGAGAGAGAGTGAGAGAGAGAGACTGAGAGTGAGAGAGACTGAGAGTGAGAGAGAGAGACTGAGAGAGAGAGACTGAGAGTGAGAGAGAGAGAGAGACTGAGAGTGAGAGAGACTGAGAGTGAGTGAGAGAGACTGAGAGAGAGAGATAGAGAGACTGAGTGAGAGAAACTGAAGAGTGAGAGAGACAGAGTGAGAGAGACAGAGTGAGAGAGACTGAGAGAGAGAGGAGAGAGAGAGAGAGAGAGAGTGAGAGAGAGAGATGAGAGAGAGAGAGAGAGACTGAGAGTGAGAGAGACTGAGAGTGAGAGAGACTGAGAGTGAGAGAGAGAGATTGAGAGAGAGAAACAGAGAGAGACTAAGAGAGAGAGACTGAGAGAGAGAAACTGAGAGACAGAGAGAGAGAGACTGAGAGTGAAAGAGAGTGAAAGAGAGTGAGAGAGAGAGAGACAGAGAGAGAGAGAGAAGAGAGACTGAGAGAGTGAGAGAGAGAGAGAGAGATTGAGAGAGAGAAACAGAGAGACTAGAGAGAGAGGACTGAGAGAGAGAGAGACTGAGAGCGTTGATAAAACAGGTGAGCACAAGCCTCTGAGAGACATCCCCCACCACTCCCACTCCCTCTCCCTCTCTCTCTCTCACACACTGTCACTGTCAACTGTAGGTAACCACAACATAGAGACAGAGAATAAAGACAAGAGATCGGGGATGACAGTGAGGAAATACATTTAGAGTAAAACGAAAGTCATTTTTTTTTTATTGTTTCACGCAACATAGTGAGGTCAGAAGGCACAACACTGGGGCGAGTGTGCGTGTGTCTGTGCGCGCGCGGTTCTTTCTCTGTGTACGTGTGTGCGCGCGGGCGCGCGCGCCTCTCTCTCCCTTACACGCAGCCCTCGGAGAGTGGGTGTAAGTATGCGTGTGTCTCAGTCGCTGTGTGTGCGTGTCTGTCTCTCTCTCGATGCGTGTCTGTCTTTCTGTGTGTGTGTGTGTGTCTGTCTGTCTCTGTCTGTGTGTGTGTCTGTCTGTCTGTCTCTGTGTGTGTCTGTCTTTCTGTGTGTGTGTGTGTCTGTCTTTCTGTGTGTGTGTGTCTGTCTCTGTGTGTCTGTCTGTCTCTGTGTGTGTGTGTCTCTCTCGATGTGTGTCTGTCTTTCTGTGTGTGTGTGTGTCTGTCTCTCTCTCTCTCTCTCTCTCTCGGTGTGTGTCTGTCTCTCTCTCCGTGTGTATCTGTCTCAGTCTCTCCGTGTGTGTGTGTCTCTCTCTCTCTCCCCCTCAGTGTGTGCCTGTCTCTCTCTCGTGTTTTTTTCTCGCTCTCTCTCGCTCCCCCCTACATGCAGCCCTTGTAGAGTTGGTGTAAGTCCAGCACATCGCTGGAGCACACCTTGACCCAGCCGCTCTCCCTGACGTGATAGAGCCCCACGTAGCCTCCGGAGTAGGCATCTCTGAACGTGGCGTGGTAAATCGCTCGCTTGGCGAGCTCACACGCCTCTTCCACGGTCATCTCCTTGCGATAGCCGCGATCCAGGATCCCGTACGCGTAGACCGAGCCCGAGCCGACAGAGAACACATCACCAGACGCTCTGTTACCCTCACTGTCCACACAGTACAGGCCTGCGGGGGGGGGAGAGAGAGAGAGAGAGAGGGGGTGAGAGAGAGAGAGAGAGAGGGTGAGAGAGAGAGAGAGGGAGTGGGAGAGACACACACACAGTACAGGATTGCGGAGAGAGAGAGGGGGTGAGAGAGAGAGAGAGGGGGTGAGAGAGAGAGAGACATACACACAGTACAGGATTGCGGAGAGAGAAGGGGGGTGAGAGAGAGGGGATGAGAGAGAGAGGATCAGAGAGAGAGAGAGAGAGAGAGAGTGTGAGAGTGGGAGAGGGAGAGGGAGAGAGAGAGAGACACAGACATACACACAGTTCAGGCCTGCGGAGAGAGGGAGAGAGAGGGGGAGAGAGGGGGAAGAACACACACACACACAAGAAAGAGACACACACAGGGTCAGAGAGGGAGAGACACACACACACAGGGTCACAGAGACACACACACAGGGTCAGAGACAGACACACACACACAGGGTCAGAGAGAGAGACACACACACAGGGTCAGAGAGAGAGACACACACACAGGGTCAGAGAGACACACACAGGGACAGACAGACACACACATACACACACAGGGTCACAGAGACACACACACAGGGTCAGAGACAGACACACACACACACACATACACACACACACAGGGTCAGAGAGACACACACACAGGAACAGACACACACACACACACACACAGGGTCAGAGAGAGACACACACACAGGGTCAGAGACACACACACACAGGGTCAGATTCAGACACACACACACACACACACAGGGTCAGAGACAGACACACACACACACACACACACACAGAGGGTCAGATTCAGACACACACACACACACACAGGGTCAGAGACAGACACACACACACACATTATTATTATTAACGGTCACTAACCGGGCCCCCGCTTGTCCCAGCCACAGATCATGGTGCCCATGGACAGACCCATGCCCTTGTACTGATACACCATGTTGGCGAGCAGTTTGGAGGCCGCGGCTACGGAGATCCGCTCCTTGTTCCGCAGCTCGTAGATCCGACACTGACGGGCGAGCACGCGCTCCCAGAAGCTGCAGTCAGCGGCCCCGCCCGCCATCGTACCCAGGAGGTACGGATTTATCTCAATCACCTTCTTCACCGTCTGAGACGCGATGTAGCTGCCGGCAGTGGCTCGGGAATCAACAGCGACTATCACACCGTGGTCAAACTGTCGGGGGGAGAGGGGAGAGAGTGTGGGGAGAGAGATGGAGGAAGAGAGAGAGGGGGGTGGCGAGAGAGTGGGGGGGGGGGAGAGAGTGTGAGGGGGGGAGAGAGAGCGGGGGAGAGAGGGTGAAGGAGGGTTGGTGGTGGGGGGAGAGAGAGTGGGGGGAGCGAGGGGGGAGGAGGGGAGAGAGAATGAGAGAGTGGGGGGAGAAAGAGTGTGAGAGAGAGTGGGGGGAGAGAGAGAGAGAGAGTGGGGAGAGAGAGAGAGAGTGAGAGAGAGTGTGGGGGGAGAGAGAGAGTGGGGGGAGAGAGAGAGAGGGAGAGAGAGAGTGGGTGGGGGAGAGAGAGAGTGGGGAGAGAGAGGGGGAGAGAGAGGGGGAGAGAGAGAGTGGGGGGGGAGAGAGAGAGGAGAGAGAGAGAGGGGAGAGAGAGAGGGGAGAGAAAGAGAGAGGGTGAGAGAGGGGGGAAGAGAGAGAGAGAGAGGGGGAGAGAGGGAAACAGAGACACGCGCCCACCAGAGGGCGACACACACACACACACACACACAAAGGGAGAGAGACACAACACAAGAGACAAAATAATATATAAATGTAAAAATAAGACAAGACATAAACATGAAAGATATAATATGAAGATTAGTCCTGTGGAGTCCTGTGGCTCAGTGGTTAGAGCAGTCGCTTTGCAAGTGAGAGACCTGAGTGCAATCCCCGGGGGGTCAGTCAGGGCCAAACCTCGGGCGAGTTTCCTCACTCCGCACAGAGCCTAACAATAATCCCTCCAAACAAAACAAGAACAATAATAAATTGGTCATTTTCAACCCACGACTGTGTGTGGGGACATTGCTGTGCGCAATTGGCCGCCGCGTTCGCCCACAAATATACGGTCAATTACACTTTACAGTGCGTTCTGTGAAGCGCTTCGGGACGTCCTCCCGACGTGAAAAGCGCTATATCAAATGCAAAGATTATTATTATTATAATGGTTTAAGGTACAATATAGTCTAATGTATGGATTATAACGGTATATAATGGTACACATAGAAGTATAATATAATCTAAAGGTATAATATAATGATAAGAATATAAAGGTATAATATGATAAGGTATAACACAGTATAATGTTAATAAAGGTGTAACACATATAGCATAAAGGTATAATAATGCAATATAACGATAACAGTAATATAAAGGTATAATACGATAAGGTATAAAGGTGTAACACAGTATAATATAATGATAATAAAGATATAATATATAATGGTAATAATGGTATAATACAGTATAATAGAGTACAATATAAAGGTGTAGCACAGTATAGTGTAATGGTATATAAGGTACAATATAATGTAATAGCATATAATGGTATATAATGTATACACACACTATACCGTGGCGGACAGTGTATATAAACGGTATACAACGGTATATAATGGCATATGGTGGTACAGAACGGTATAGAATATACATGAACGGTATAGGGTGGTATATAACTGTATATGACATATACAGGTATATGAACGGAACGCAGCGGTATAGAATGGTATATAACGGTATATGAACGGTATAGAACGGTATATGAACGGCATAGAATGGTATATGAACGGTACCGAATGGTATATGAACGGTATAGAATGGTATACGAACGGCATAGAATGGTATATGAACGGTACAGAATGGTATGTGAACGGTACAGAATGGTATGTGAACGGTACAGAATGGTATATGGACGGTATAGAATGGTATATGAACGGTATAGGGCGGTATATGAACGGTATAGAATGGTATATGAACGGTATAGGGCGGTATATGAACGGTATATGAACGGTATAGAATGGTATTTGAACGGTATAGAATGGTATATGACGTATATGAACGGTAGTATAATGTATATTGAACGGTACAGAATGGTATATGGACGGTATAGAACGGTATATGATCGGTATATGAACGGTATAGAACGGTATGTGGACGGTATAGGATGATACATGAACGGTACAGAGTGGTATATACACAGTATATGACGGTATATGACGGTATATACACAGTATATGACGGTATAGACACAGTATATGACGGTATATACACAGTATATGACGGTATGTAATGTATGTGACGGTATGTAATGTATGTGACGGTGTACAGCGGTGCAGTGATCACCTTGAAGGCCAGGGTGGTGGTCCCGTGCTCTATCCCAGCCTCGGGGCCGGGGCCGGGCCCGGTGCTCTGGGCGAGGCCGGGGCT